ACAAAATAATGTTCTTTTTAGCAACATCATATGACCCCTTTAAAAATTATAAAATATGCTAAATTTGTTATCATTGTCAGATTTTACTATTGATTTTAAATATATTATGCAAGCACAATAATGACAACAGTTTTGGAGATTTCCAATAGGATTAGATAGGAACTGTATGCCTATATACAAAAAAGACACAAAAAACACGTTACAAAGTTGGCCGCAGAGTTCACTTGCTAAGGATATCAAACAGAAAGACAATCCCCCCCCTGGGTTTAGCAAACCTTCTGTTATTTTTAATTCTAAATATATCCAACTCTTAAGGTCCAATAGTAGTTTTATTTGTTTTGTTTTGTAGATGATGCCAAGAAGTCCCAACAAGTTCCAATCATCACAGGGATCTCCAGTGCATCAGGCATGATTTACGCTGGGTGCATAGGGACCCAAATTGCTAATGAGATAATGGACTATAATAGGTAAACCAATTATGTAGCTTCCTTTCTATTATTAAATTTGGTGTAATTTACAGTGAAGTACTGCAAGCGATGAAAATTAAGGTAATTTAGGATTGTTTGGTTAGCTTGTCGTCCAACAAACGACTAGTTAATTAGTGATGTTGAGTAGTTTTTTTTTCTTTTTCTAAATATAATAAGTACATAATTAGTGCTGTCAAACGATTAATCGCGATTAAACGTTTTTGTTTATATAATACATGAGTGTGTACTGTGTATATTTACAGTATTATGTATATATAAATACACACACATGCATGTATATATTTCAGAAAAATATGTTATGTTTATATATTAAATATATTGATTTATAATATAAATTACATGAATATAAATATAGACAAATGTGTGTGTGCTTATATATATATATATATATACACATATATTATGCAAACAAAAACTTTTATTTTGGATGCGATTAATCACAATTAATCGTTTGACAGCACTATACATAATATATTTCTTTTGTTAGCAGCAGTGCAAAAGATTCTTGGAAACTTTGTCAATTAGGGCCAAGTTGATTTTTTAAAATATGCAGTTCTGCACATCCCTAAAGAAAAGATCTTTGAATTCTGATGTCGTGCTGTTTTCTTTAGGATGAACTCCTCACCATCCAGCGGCAATACAAGTCCATTCAGTTTACTGCAGGACAAGTCTCCACTGGCCCTTGCGCAGGCCAGCAGCAATGTGAGTCTCTCAAACAAATGTGTCTGTCTGTTTAGAAATTAATTTCCATGTTTTGTGGTTTCTTGTGTTCTAACGCATTAGTACTTCACATGCTTTAAGGTGCCAAATGGGGAAGTGACAGATGTGGAGATGCCTGGCAAATCAAGCTCAGAGGAGGAAGCGAGGGGTGGGGCCTTCACAGCGGGAGAAAGTCTGATGGGTAGATGTTACATTATTATATTACTCTGGCCATGTGGTACTTAAGATACTAGCTTGTCAAGAATGTGTCTGGGTTTTTCCTGGAGAAAAGGTTTTGTGCAATGAAAATGCCTGCTTTTGGAACATTTAAGACTTTTTACTTTGTGACATGATTTTCATGACAAAATTTGTGTTCTAAATTATTTACTTTTTTTTTTCATGATACATTATTATTATTATGATTAATAATTAGTATTAAATAGTATACTTAAAAGTTAATTAGTAAATGATGATAAATATCATGATGATAAATTTTATTGATTAAAAATAAAATCAATATGTTCTTGTTCTGTAATTTCTTATATTAAATCTAAATATTTTAAACTAAGCTAAAGATTTTTTGCTTTAACCAAATTAAATTCTTTTTAAAAATGGCACTCACTTTTCTTTTCTTTGCCTGTGTTCCTGTCCTCCAGAGGGGAGCTCTCAGTTGGATCTGGAGGGGGTTCCTGGGTTAGGCGCTCTGAGCACTGACGAGGCAGCCATGGCGGTCATTATGAGCTTACTGGAGACCGATGCCAACCTGGGTGAGGCCGTGGACTTTGACGAGATGCACTGGTCTCTGTGAACACCGCTCCAGTTTTTTTTTTTTTTTAAAGACCCATCTTATCTGGAGCTTTTTAAAATGAACCATCCATTAATTTTCATGGGGCAACAAGCCTTCGGCAATTCTTTGGCTTTCATGTTTTTAATTTATTAGTGTTTTTTTAATGTGTGCAGACAAGCTGCATGGCAGGTTATCTGATGGCTGCCCTTGGTGAAGGAGAACCAAAGGGGACGGGGGTCTCTCTGAGTACCTTAAGCTGAGTACCTTAAGCAACAGGACCAGGTTTTATGTGGTCTGGTGTGCATTTCTTCACCTCAGCTCTGAGGTCATTTCTGCCCCTTGGCATGGATCAGAATGGAGAGACGTTCTTGGCCTGTTTTGCCATGTTGAGAAACGCATGCCTCAGCCAAGCCATAAGGCAAGAACCCAGATGGTCCACTGTGATCCAGTGGCGTAAGGATTTCAAAACGGTTTCCTTAGTCAATCAACACTTGAACTGATGCTTTTGAGGCAAAGCTGGACTACATTTTTTTTTTAAAACGTCATGGGATTCCTTTGGCAAGGGAAGCCTGGTAGTGATTTTACCCTTTTAGAGTAGAAATCATCTTGAATTCAATGTTTGTTTGTTTTTTGATGAACAAGAGTGGAACAACGGGGAGGGGTTTTGGTAAGTGCTTGTGGTCATTTGTCAAACAGAACTACTTGAAAAGACTGTGGAAAAATCAGAAAATTGAGGATCACCGTTAGGCCTGACATTTGTTTTTCCTCTCTAGTCTACAAACATGTGTGTGAATGTGTACTTTTCCCTCAGACCTTCGTCTGTCCTGCCAGGTCTATGCTTTTCTAAAAACAGGGCCGCCACTAAAATTTACAGGGACTGGGACAACATTTTTAGAAGACCTGGGACAATATTCTTGGTTGTTGCCCTCTTAGTTAGATGTATTAGTTCTGCTGTTCTGAAAGATGGTCCTGATGGAGATGGGCAGGGCAGGGTCTCTCAGGGAGCAATTCATGGAAACCCTTCTCAAAATCCTTTAGCGGATCAGCAAAGTACCACTTTTTAGACACTTGTGTGAAGGTGGTGTTTAAGACTTCTTCAGGGCTTCATTCTTTCATTAGTTCTTCTTGTTTAGTTATGTGCAAAGAGGTATAACATGCTCAACGTGATCAACATTTAGAAGGTGATTGTTGTTTAAACTCTGTATTTTGGAATTATATCCCATAATTTTAGTTATGGGAATAACCTAATCTCTACTCAACTTCAAAATACTAACAAAATCACTTTTTATGCAGTAAAATAACAGCAGAGATGTTTTTTCACATTCTTCCTGCTTTAAGAAGATATTTAATACCAGCCATGAAGTCTTGATAGTAACCCACTTTTAAAGGTATGATGCACCCTAAAATGGACAAAATGTTTATTGTTTACTCACCCTCATGTCTTTATAAACCTGTATGACTTTCTTTCATGGAACACAAATGGAGATGTTTAGAAGCATGTTCACTCTGCTCTTTTCCACGTAATGAAAGTTAATGGTGACCATGGGCTTTCAAGCTTCAATAAGGACTATAAAAAGCACCATAGAAGTAATTCATAAGATGTGTGCGCTATATTCCAAGTCCAACGTATCCCTTCATAGATCTCCAATTTAATTTATTCAATTTTCTCAGTTTCAATATTGCATTTGATCCTACGGCTAGAATACATTACAAGACTTTTGCCCTGATTACAGTCTGGAGGAGTTGATGCTAGTTGCCAAAAGTCAGAGCCAGCATGCAGCTTTTACAGATTCACAGGAAATCACGTTGAATGCTGGGCACAGATTCAAATTTTCTAGCTTCAGACTATGATTCCATTCAGTCGGAAGATATCAGACATGTTTGGTATTTTGAGCTGATTTTAGAACACGCATTGTTCTCATTTGTCATATATCTCCTAGCAACAAGGCACATTTCTTAGTGCGTTTGTTGTGTTTGAAATGACTGTGAAGTCTAGTAGTGTGTCATCTGCAGTTGTTAAGTCTATGAGTTTGCAAGTGTATGATCCCTGGTGGTTTGAAATCTGATTTTAAAAGTCAGGTAGTGCATTCTAGTCATAAGGAAGAAAGAAAATCATACAGGTTTTGAAAATAATGCTGGAATTTCCATTTTTGGCTGAACTATTACTTTAATTGAAGACAAGAGATCTAAGAATATGTTTTTGCCATGTTTTAGTAGTATTAAATTAATCTTTAAATGGATAAATCAAAGACGATGTCCGCTGTAGTTTTGAGCCTGTTTTCTCAGAAGGCTACAACCTCAGAAACATGACACCTCTTTTTGGGCAGATGATCTTTATAGGCTGTTAAAATTATGCTATCAAATGCCATTTATTGTAATATTCCCTATTTTGTATATTATATTTGAATTCTTATTGTGTGTGCACATCCTTGGGATACTGATTCTCTCTTCTTTTTCGCTTTCTAAATTTCTCAAATTTTCAAAAAAAGTCATCTGATTCCCCTGGGTAATCGTTCACCTCAATCAATTCACATTTCAGCATGGCTTTGTATCTGATTTTGCACATTTTCTTCCGAAATTTTGCTTCCCTTCGTACTGGTGACCTTTCATTCAGACGATCAGTGTACTGAACTGCTTTACTGTGACGGTGCACATGTGCCACAGGAGTCTCATGGCCTTGCGTGATGGAAACGGCTGATTCTGACCGATTATACCAAAGCTATTTGACCACAGATATATTTCAAATACCCTTAACGCTCAGCTGCCTTGTGCTGTCAGATGATCTGTAATTCTGTGACTATAGTGTGAGCTGCTTTTTAAAAAAAATGTCTTCATATCATTGTCTACTCTGTCATGCTGCCAAGAGCTTACTTGAAGGGAGGAAGCCACCCACCCAATCCAACTGAAATGAAATACTGTGCACATCTTTAGTGTGAAAATAAGTCTTGCCATGACCCATTGTTCATCCAACGCTTGGCTTTGCAAACGTAACGCATTACCAAGAAATATAAATGGGGCTTTTCCTTAAACCTGACTGAAATTTCATGGGATCGACTGTAAGTGTTTGTCACACAGGTGGTTAGATGTGTTAGCCTATCACTATTCTGGTAAGATGACCAGTTAGGGATTTTGATTAGGCAGTTGTAGCCTTAAGCACAGGAACAGCTGCTTCGTTTGCCCCCAATGTACAAGCATTGCTCTGTGCCATAACTGCAGGCTTGTCCTAAAAGACAAAATTGTGATTTATATTGTGTTTCCCACTCCCCCACATAGCTTCACTGTTTTTTAAAGTAATAGTTCCCCCAAAAATGAAAATTTACTCACCCTCAGGCCGTCCAAGATGTAGACGAGGTTGTTTCTTCATTGGAACAGATTTGGAGAAATTTAGCATTACATCACTTGCTCACCAATGGATCCTCTGCAGTGAATGGGTGCCATCAGAATTAGAGACCAAACAGCTGAAAAAAACATATAATAATCCACACGACTTCCACATAATAAACCACACACATGATTGGAAGAAACAAATTCATCATTAAGGCGTTTTAACTTAAAACTGTTGCTTCTGACCAAAATACAAGTCCATAATCCATTATAACACATCCTCTATAGTGAAAAAAATCCTCTGTTGATCTCTCACATTAAAATCCACCAGAATATTTGTTTTGGACTGTTCTCGCATGTAAGAGGTTTGCATATTTCTCTCCTGATTCAGATGAGACTACTTTCTTTTACTGGAGAGAACAGTATTATGAATAGAGGACTTGCGTTATTACAAATGCACAGCTTTTCACTTCACAAAAGACATTAATAGACTGGAGTTGTGTGGCTTACTTGTGGATTGTGATGTTTTTATCAGCTGTTTGGACTCTCATTCTGACGGCACCCATTCACTGCAGAGGATCCATTCATGAGCAAGTGACGTAATGCTACATTTCTCCAAATCTGTTCAGATGAAGAAACAAACGTATTTACATCTTGGATGGCCTGAGGGTGACTACATTTTCGGGTGAACTATTCCTTTAATGTGACTATGTTCTGTTTGGAGTGTCGTTCTGCAGTTGCACTTGGCAGAAATCAAGTACTGTACGTAGGTTAGAACCGCAGACCTTTTCTTCTGTCGCTTTTGTCCTAATTTCAGCTCTCTCACTATGTGTAGCCTAAGAATTTCTTGATTTTATATTGATCCAGTGATATTCATTCATGCATGCCTTTTTGTGTATCCTTTGCTTTTCTTCTTTTTTGTTGTTCTGTTAGCTATCTAAGGGTATTGGATGAAGGTTTTTGCCTTATAAGACAAAGACTTGCTCGTTGTTCTGTTTCCCTTTGTTTCTGTCTGTCTTGAGTGTGTGATGAAAGTGGTTTGGATATTCTGAAGACGTGAACATCTCAGTCGGGGGAGCAACCGTTGGGTCGGCCTCCAGATCTGCATGCGTGCACCTCCTCATCGCTCTCTCTGAGCCTTCGATCAAGGCTGTGATGGAACAAGGGGCCTTGTCCAGGCAGGCCCCTTTTTTGTCTTTTACTTTCTTCTCCTCCTCTGTTTGTTATCAAGAATTTGTATGACGCCATCGCTGCTGCTGTCAACAGGTCTGGTTAGTAGCAGAGAATCTGTCTCTCCAGGCTGACATGTAGAAAGATTCTTCAATAAACAACATTAGTTTCCTGTACATCTGTGTTGGTCTGTCATGTGTCAATGTACAAATGTTCAGAGATGTCATGAATGCCTTGTAAATTCCAGTTCATTTCCTGGAGGTAGGAAGTTGTAATTTGAATATAAGGAAATGGAATGAAATTGCAAGATTTTAATATTCTAAACTAATGCAAGTGTAGTTTTTTTTTTTTGTTATTAGCACACTTGCTCGTAAATGTTCATACACTACTATTCAATGTCTTGGGGTCAGTAATATATATTAATACTTTTGTGCAGCAAGGATCAGTGGCATTAAAGGCATTTATGATGTTACGAATAATTTCGGTTTATAAATGTTCCTTTGAACTTTCTATTCATTAAAGAACCCTGAATGAAATGTATCAAAGTTTACACAAAATAATGAGCAGCCAAATGTTTTAGACATTGATAACAATAAGAAATGTTTCTTGAGCACCAAATCAGCGTATTAGAACGATTTTTGAGCGGATCATATGACTCTGAAGATTGGAGTAATGGCTGCTGAGAATGTAGTTTTTCCATCACAAGAATAAATTACATTTTATAATATAATCAAATAGAAACATTTTAAATTACAATAATATTTAGCAATATTACAAGTTTTACAAGTAGTTTTGTATCAAATGCAAATTCAATTCAATTCAATTCAAGTTTATTTGTATAGCGCTTTTCACGATACAAATCGTTGCAAAGCAACTTTACAGCAAATTAAGTTTCTACAATATTTAGTGGTAGCTTATCAGTGGTGACTGTATTATACTCTGTAGAATCTACATTTGTTATTGTATTTCTGATGTTACCTATTTTATCAGTGAAGAAATTCATAAAGTCATTACTATTAAACTGTGAGGGAATATTTAGATCGGGTGGCGTCTGGTTATTTGTTAATCTAGCCACTGTGCTAAATAAAAACCTTGGATTGTTTTGGTTATTTTCTATGAGTTTGTGGATATGCTCGGCCCTGGCAGCTTTTTCAAATGTAGCCTTGGTGAGCATTTTTTAAGCATTTAAAAAAAATCTTACCAAACTTTTGAACGGTAGTTTTTTTTTTTTTCCTAACAAAATGTAAATGCTGAAACACAATTTTCATTCCCCCATTGGAATGTTTTAATAAAATTTGTTTGTCTACAAAAATATACTAAGATGCTCCAAAATGATTTTACATTTAAACATTTAATTGGTCATCTGAATAGCTGTTTTGCACATTTTATTTTAGTATTTAAGCATTTTTGGAGTGTCATTTCAGCTGCATTTTGAGCATTTGATTTATTATTTGAATGGTGTTAATACTTGCTTACAATATTATATACAGTTTGATGCAAATATACATTTTCCACTGCTAAATTCAACATTTTTATACATATAAATACATTTTAGATTTTTTTTTTTTTTATAACTGAAGGCTGATTGGAAAAATTTAAATGGCTGTCTTAGTTGTTTTGAACTTAAATTAGAAAAATCTTAATATTAGCAAACTTTGTATTATTATTAAAAATATGTAAACTTTTTATATTATCAGCGAATAAATAGCCATAACCAATCAAAATTGGATCAGAACCTGTTGATTAATGAAATTCCTAAAATTCTTTCAACTGCATTTCAGTAAATTCCTCTTCCTGTCATTCCAATTTGATGTCAACAAAACTTAACCGTTCACCTTTACACTGCTTGTTTAAGCTGTTGAGTGCATTCAGCGGTTCAATCAAGAGTGAGACCAATGCTGACTCAAATGATGAATCTAGCTAAACCACAGTCTTCCGTGAGAGTCTTTGATGGTTTTTCTGTCCTCATTCACATTTCTAAGAATATTCACCAGCTTTCTCAGCTGCATGCACAAAATGGTTTTTACCATTGTTAACTAGGTCACCAGAACAAGCCAGCTCACAAGCAACTGGCACATTTTTTAAAACTTCAAAGGGCAAATATGGAGCTGCAACTGTCAATTTATATAATATATGCAGAGTCCTTGACTGCTGCTGGGCCTGGAGAAGCTAGAGGATTTCAAGTGTCACTCATGTGTCTTTGAGGTAATTAATTTGTGTCACTCACCTGTCTGTCGACCTCCTGCGGGGAGATTACTGTAGTTTAATTTCACAGATGCAGAAGGGTCTGGGTAAGAATGATTAAGTGAGAGAGAAGTAAGCTGGGCTTTGCTATATATGCATCTGTGCCGTTGTTGATTTTTTTGCACTGATGATGATGGGACAGGCCGCAACTTTACCCTGCAGAAAAGGTGGTACATACGTCAGCGAGCTTTATGAGTGTTTCAGGTAAGTTTGCAAAATATTACTATTATGACTACAGCTGGGCTTTAGTGAAGCGGGTAGTAAAGGTAGAATACATAAGCTTGGTTACACGTCATCTGATAGATGCTTTTGTGCAAAGCAAACCTCCTCATTCTGGGTCTTTATTATTGGAGAGTAATTATAACCATAAATGGGGTCAAGAAAGGGTCATGCCATACTGAAGATTTTTATTATAGACCATAAAATGCCAACCATGACTGTAAAACCATATAAACTCTATCTCAGCATAAGTAGGTCATCTGCTTATTTGAGTCTTTTTTTCTTTTCTTTTTTTTTACCTTTTACTGTAGTCTTATTCCTGGAACATTTCATTTCATGATGTGCATGATAAGAACATTGCCTTTTTTAAAATAATCATTCATAATGTAACTGTTCTAGAAAGGATCATATAATACTGACAACACAAAATCTTTAAGTTATCAAGTGTTTATCAATAGCTACCAGTATTAATTAATATTATACATATTTGTTAAAATATTCATATTTTATACAATTTTACACATTTTTAGAAATTAATTACCTGGTTTATGGTTGTCAAGAGAAAATTGTCAAAAAATGCATTGTCTGTACACTGAAAAAATTGGTGTAGGATTTCTTTGAAAAATCTGTACTCAGAATTTAATAGTAGGCTACATTTTACATTTTAATTTTGTATATCAAATAAAAATATAGTTAATAAACAACATTTTAAAGTGTATATTTATTTAATGTGCATTTATTTTATTTGAATTATTTTATTTGGATCTATACAATATCTATATTACAACACTAAAAACCCGAAGGTCAGTTAATATTTATCAGTGGTTTAAGATGAGAAAATAATTGATTGATATCAGTTTTAAACTACACTATCACATTTTCAGCTTTATAAAAAGCTCTTCAGAAAATAATACTAGCAATAATAATCGAAATAGTTTTAAAAATGTGTCCACTTTTGTGCTCGTGTCTGGCAGGAAGTTCCTGAATGAATGTCCCAGTGGACTGATCACACTCCATGAGTTCAGACGTCACTTCTGCAATGGAACCGCGGGAAAAGAGTCAGTGGAGTATGCAGAGCAGATATTCCGCACGCTAGATAACAATGGGGTATTTCACAGCTCAAAACCAAACAAGCTTTGAGGCCTGACATATGTGATGTGTTCAAAACACTGGCTTTACAAAACATGCGTGTATGTTGACTTGACTTGTAAAAGGCGGAGGTTTTTAGAAAAGTAAAGTAGCGTAGAATATATACAGTACATTGTTGGGAAGTAACTAGTTACATGTAACTAAATTACTTAATTTAATTTCAAAATAAATGTAACTGTAATCAGTTACAGTTACTACAAAAAATTTAATTAAATTACAGTTACTTATGAAAATGTTAACAATTACATAGGGGGTTACAACTGAATTTTTTCCCACATGCATCCACATACAGATCAAATTGATTTATTTCATAAATTGCAGTGACTGCTCTAAAATATGAGACACCTTTCAGGAGTTTAGGACACTGTTAACTTTTATTTCGTATTTGGGTTGATGTACAGGTGCATCTCAATAAATTAGAATGTCGTGGAAAAGTTCATTTATTTCAGTAATTCAACTCAAATTGTGAAACTCGGGTATTAAATAAATTCAATGCACACAGACTGAAGTAGTTTAAGTCTTTGGTTCTTTTAATTGTGATGATTTTGGCTCACATTTAACAAAAACCCACCAATTCACTATCTCAACAAATTAGAATACTTCATAAGACCAATAAAAAAAAACATTTTTAGTGAGTTGTTGGCCTGCTGGAAAGTATGTTCATTTACTGTACATGTACTCAATACTTGGTAGGGGCTCCTTTTGCTTTAATTACTGCCTCAATTCGGCGTGGCATGGAGGTGATCAGTTTGTGGCACTGCTGAGGTGGTATGGGAGTCCAGGTTTCTTTGACAGTGGCCTTCAGCTCATCTGCATTTTTTGGTCTCTTGTTTCTCATTTTCCTCTTGACAATACCCCATAGATTCTCTATGGGGTTCAGGTCTGGTGAGTTTGCTGGCCAGTCAAGCACACCAACACCATGGTCATTCAACCAACTTTTGGTACTTTTGGCAGTGTGGGCAGGTGCCAAATCCTGCTGGAAAATGAAATCAGCATCTTCAAAAAGCTGGTCAGCAGAAGGAAGCATGAAGTGCTCCAAAATGTCTTGGTAAACGGGTGCAGTGACGTTGGTTTTCAAAAAACACAATGGACCAACACCAGCAGATGACATTGCACCCCAAATCATCACAGACTGTGGAAACTTAACACTGGACTTCAAGCAACTTGGGCTATGAGCTTCTCCACCCTTCCTCCAGACTCTAGGACCTTGGTTTCCAAATGAAATACAAAACAAAAAAGACACCTCTCACGTTGTCTGTGGTTCAGGAGTGGCTTAACAAGAGACATTTCCTCATTTTCATTTTCATTTTCCCCATGATTGTGTAGCCTAGTGAACCAAACTGAGAGACCATTTTGAAGGCTCAGGAAACCTTTGCAGGTTTTTTGAGTTGATTAGCTGATTGGCATGTCACCATATTCTAATTTGTTGAGATAGTGAATTGGTGGGTTTTTGTTAAATGTGAGCCAAAATCATCACAATTAAAAGAACCAAAGACTTAAACTACTTCAGTCTGTGTGCATTGAATTTATTTAATACATGAGTTTCACAGAATTACTGGAATTACTGAAATAAATGAACTTTTCCACGACATTCTAATTTATTGAGATGCACCTGTATATGATTTATGTTTTTAAGATTAACAGTTTCTTCCAAGCCATTGTTATGCCAGTGTTTCCTGTCGTAGCTACGCAAAGATTTGATTTCAAAAACAGTATCGTAGCTAGCTACTAAACTATTTCTTGTTATGGTTTTAAATCTGTATTAACTTCAGAATGATCTCAAAGTAAGTCTGATTTTGTGGTGGCTGTGCTTTAAAATTAGTAAAAATAAAAATAAATTAGTAAAAATAAATAATTATTATAATCTTAATTCAAAAGATGAAGGATTTTGAAAGTCTGACAGTAATCAGTGTTGAATAGTATACTACTGTAAGGTTAACCCTGACTGGTTTACATGTTTGAAAATTATTAATCAAATGTAATCAATTAATCAATACTTTAATAAAGTAATTGAAATAGTTACACTACTTATTACATTTTAGATAGGGTAAAGTGTAATCTGTAACATATATATATATATATATATATATATATAAAGAAGAAGCAAATAAAAATGACAAAAACACAACAAAACTGCTAAAACTGTAGGCTAAATAAAATTATTATTAAAACATTTCATTTTGCATTTCATTTTCTGCATTTCTGCATTTTGAATAAAACCTATAATAATTAAGTTAATAGCTTATTTATTTATTTTAGCAATTTTTACTATTTGTATAAAAAGTGTGATATGATTGCCATTTAACAGGATGGAGTTGTGGACTTCAGAGAATATGTGACAGCTATTAGCATGTTGATTGAGGGCACGACGGTGGAGAAGCTGCGCTGGTCCTTCAAACTCTATGACAAAGACAAAGATGGAGCCATCACACGCTCGGAGATGCTGGAAATCATGCAGGTAAGTGTCTATAGCTGAAAACTTCTATTACTTGCTGCTCTCATCTGACTGTTGCATTTTGCTATGGAATTAAAAATGCAGATTGTTTACGTGATTCTGGATTGCTCCACTAGAGGGTAATATATACTCACAAATTAATATTCTCTCATGACTGTTCTCTCACTCAGGCTGTGTACAAGATGAGCGTTGCAGCATGTCTGACCAAACCTGATCCACTGACTGCTGAAGAATGCACCAATAGGATATTTGTACGGCTGGACAAAGATAACAATGGCAAGCTACGCGCTATCAATACAAGCTACATTGCTATCTAAAATAGCTAAATTATTTCAACCACTCTTGAAATTCAAAGCACTACTAGAAAATGGCAGTTTACAGAAGTTCTTTTTCTTTCTGTCTCTATAGCCATTATCAGTCAAGAGGAATTCATTGAAGGCGCGCTGAATGACGAATGGATCAGAGAGATGTTGGAGTGTGATCCAAAAACAGTGAAGATGGAGAGGTCTCTCAAAGGCAATGCAGTGCTGTAAATCTGTGGGTCTATTTACATTCAGTATAAAGGAGATCATGGCTGTTACAGTATTTATTGTGATGGGGCTGTTGTGAATGCCTTAAAGATGAGATGTTCATGCATTCGTCAGTATGATTATTTTAAATTAATGGAATAGTTCACCACAAAATAAATATTTGCTGAAATTTACTCACCCTCAGCCCAAACAAGCTGTAGAGAAATGTAGCATTACATCACTTGCTCACCAATGAATCCTCTGTAGTGAATGGGTGCCATCAGAATGAGAGTCCACACAGCTGATAAAAACATCACAATAATCCACAAGTAATCCACATGACTCTAGTCCATCAATTAACACCCTGTGCAGCAAAAAGCTGCTTGTTTGTAAGAAACAAATCCATCATTCACTGCAGAGGATCCATTGGTGAGCAATTAATGTAATGCTAAATTTATCCAAATCTGTTCTGATGAAGAACAAACTCATCTACATCTCGAATGGTCTGAGGATAAATACATCTTCATGCAAATTTTCATTTTTGGGGTGAAATATTGCTGTAATGTTGACCTATAAATTGACATTCTACTTTTGATGTTAGATGCAAAATATATGTATATTGATTAATTGATTGTACTGAAATTATACCTGAACAAATCATTATTTATCTTTTTGTTCATTTATTAAATCGTTATGTATCTTTTCATGTAGACCATGTGAATTTACAAAGTAAATCTAAATAGCTACTGTAAATAATTGGTTTTAAGGTTCGTATACGGCAGAATCTTATGTCAATACTATACTGCCAAGCATAAGAACTTCTACTGAGAAACCATTTATTGATTAAATATTAGTCTCAGTCTCACCTCCTTAAGTTGTTATGTATTTGTATAATCAAAAAAATTTATTAAAAATGTAAAAGGAGAAAAAAAAACGAATATTTTGAGTTTGATTAGCCTATTGGTTACAAAATACTGAAATAATGGATCAGATTCTTGTGCCATCTTATAACTTTCATTTGGAGTAAAATTATTTTACATAGCCTACAATCTACATATTAAGCTACATATCATGTACAGAAACAGATGTATTCTGACTTGATATCTCAGCTTCAGTTCTCTAGGCTATTGACTGTATTCTATAATGAACAACAGTTGTGTTCTTCAGTATTCTTCTGCATTTCTCATTAGGTTTTGAGACACAGAATCTAAAATCTTTTTAGTCTTGTCAAATTGCAGTTGGTATATGCATGCCTTATTCCAGCAACTGACTTCAGAGGAACACCTCAGTTTTGACAAAGATATAGCTTTGGTGACAGTAGTGTGCTAGATTAAAAAAGACTAAATGACAGGTAAATAAAGAGATCTGAGCAGAATCATGTTGGTTTCACTATATTAGTTTTGATACCATATACAAAAATGTTTTAATACATTATCTGGTTCATTTTTTTAATACAGTTACCTAAACCTAACCCTCACACAGATATCAGCATATCAACACGATTTGGCTGATTTATGACGAACACTTCCGAAGTGCTCCAAAGTTGTTTTTTTTTAACATGTTTCACTATTTGTAAGTGAAGTAATGCCTCACAAGTATGACCAAACGTACGCAAACACAAACACCATTATCGTTACTAATGCTACTATGGCGAAAGCTCATCTTGTGAATATTAATTAGATAGCGGTGATGCCATTTAGTACCCTTCCTATAGCGAAAAGTGTTTTCTTGAATATTAATTAGATGGCTCAGTGACCATCCAATGGTGAAGACACGGCTCATGAATATTAAGCAGAAAACCTTCACCGTAGTATGTTCCCTCCTATGACGTCCAACATTCCCACTTTCATTGTCGACATGGCGCTGGCGTGGTGGGAACGCCAACTACGGAAAGAGCAAATCTCGTAAAGACATTAAACCGCTAGAAAAGAGTCCACGGATTAATATTTTCATACTTTAGAAGGCGGTCCAGATTCGGTAAGTAATCACAGCATTCTTGTTGTCAAAGTACGTTAACTAACTGCTAGTTCTTTGTGAATTTACTTGGCTTCCTAAACTTGCTTGAGTGGGAAACTTTCTTGTAATTGTGTAAAAAAAAAAAATATATATATGTAAAAAAGTTAGTTTTGTGCGTAGTTATGATAGTTTATTACATTATCATCGCTTCACACGTAGCAATATTTTCATAGCCTAAGGGATTGATTACAGAAAGCATTTATGTGTATGAGATTATATTCAGAAACCCGGATCGACAAAGTGATGTTTGTAGGTATTGTGCAATACTTAAAACAAAACTCAAGGTATATTTTAAACTATTTAAAATCAATTAAAAACATAAGGTGTGATTTGAAGAGCAGAACTAGGTATTTGAGGCACAGCTGTGTTTGTGAAGAAGTGATTCACACATTCCACGTAGCCACAGAAGAACAAGAGCTGCACTTACGTTTGCTTTACCGCATCCTCACCTGTGATCTGGACTGAGACAGAGCTTACAGAACGTAATTGTTACTTTTTAGCTGTACAGTCTACAGAAATATGTTTGGAGTGACTTCCTCTATTTATATAAACTTTTTATAATTTGTAGTGTGCAGCAGCATATATGTTTTTGGATGTGTATTGGAAGACGGGGCAAGTTGTCACACTGGACGTTGTCAAAAAGGCTTAATATCAGTAACTATATGGTTTTGAACCAAATCAGTAACACATAGACAACTGTGTGGTTTTTATGTTGTTACAAAGCTAGTTTTTACATTACTTTTGTGAATCCTCCAAAAAACAAAAACAATAGTATCATAATTTGTAATAGCTAAAACTAATGACTTTAGATTTTAACTGTAAGGTTGAACTGCATTCTCAACCAGTATTAATTTGTTTTCTGTTTCATGAATTGTTAGGTCTTTTGTAATTGTTTTAGTGAAAAGCCTGTGACAACATGCAATTAGCTGTCACAAAATGTTTTTGTCAGCTTTAGCGTTTTCCTGGCAATAAAGCAGTTTATTTTTGTAGCCAGCATTTTAAGGTATGTGTCTATACAGAAACTGACTTAAAAATGAACTTCCTCTCAGAAATAATATTGTAGTAAAGTGTGTGATAATTAACCCTGCTTTACACTGTAACATTTTTTTTTCAAAGTTGTAAATAAAACAAATAGGCCTATGTGTTATTTACAAGAAAATACTATTTCAGCTTTTCTACTTCACAATGTAACATTTAATTCAGGGTTACATGCTGTTTTTTTTTGTACCTATTCAACTAGTTTTAAGCTTTGTCCTTGTAACTGTTCTTGTAATTTAAGTCCATTTCAGTCACACATCTGTGATATTGTGTAAATTGTGTGATGTTTACAGTAGCTGCCTCTATTGAAAGACTTCAAAGAGCATCATTTGCTGTTTAAATCTTGTGTTTGCAGCCCAAAGTAAGCCTGCGGGTTTCATCAGCCATCTTTATTTGTTGTGTAACAAACTCTATTGCATCTCGAAGGGCTAAAACACACACATGCTTTTCATTTATCCACTTATATTTGCAAACACATCTGTGCATTTACCTAAGCAGTGTGGAATTTTTTTATTTTTACAGTTAGCTATAGATAGCATATGAAACACCCCTGAATTCAGGCAGGCGTCCCTTCTCTGTTCCGTGTGGTTATATGAAGTATGATGCATCATATTCTACAACGATGCCTTGGCTTAGTATAGTGACAGGATATTTCAGATCAGTGTCAGATGGGTGTCCCTTTAGAAGTTTTGAGTATGAGAACAGTCCGCGGTGGTGTTTCATTGGCTGCTTATGTATAAAAATCTGCTTAGTGACGCCCCAATATAGCCACAAATATGAAAGAGTGGAGTTAAGTAAAAAAAAAAAACAACCTTCCATTCTCTTTCTATTTCTGACATGTGTAAGAAAAGGAGCCTCTTGTAAGCAGGGGCTGTCCTCCTCCCACATGCACAGGCTGGACTGAAGGCTTGTGCACATCTGTGTTCCTCTAGTACTTGCACAAGACCCAAACATCTTTTAGAACTCTACGCTTGGCTCAAATGCTGCGATCACGTCTGACTGCTTTTTTTCATCCACGTGAAACCAGGCACAGCATTTATCAGTGTATAAAAACCTACTGGCACAATCAATCTGATAAAAACAAATTCAAATCGAAGAAAAAAAAGGATATAACCTTTTGTGTTGAACATGTATCATGGTAATAGCATGGTTTTCTATGAATTGGTGTATGATGTACACTACAAACGACCACAAATGTTTGTGGTCATCAGATTGTGATGTTGTTGGAAAATGCCTCTTATGCTCACCAAGGCTACATTTTTTTGATCAAACATACTGTAAAAGCAGTAATATTGTGAAATATTTATTTAAAATATTAAATTTAAAATGAGTGTTTTCTGTTTCAAATACATTTTAAAATGTAATTTATTCCTGTGATGCAAATCTGAATTTTCAGCAGCCATTACTGCAGTCTTTAGTGTCACATGATCCTTCAGAAATCATTTTGGTGCTTGAGAAACATTTCTTATTATTTTCAATTTTAAAAACAGTTTTGCTGCTTAATATTTTTGTGAAAATCATTATCGTTTTTTTTCATGATTCTTTGTTTTTTTAAAAGTAAAAAAACAAACATTTATTTAAAATGTATTTTTTGTAAAACTCTTTCCTGTCACTTTTGGTCAATTTAACATGTCCGTGCTATATAAAAGAGTCTGCTAAATGACTGTAAATGTAAATGTAAAAGTATTAATTTCTTTAAAAAATCATCTTACTGACCTCAAATGTGTATGTACCATGGTACATGAATATGATACTCAATCAGTTCTTAGTTATCAAAGGACTAGTGATGCATGATTTATTGGTAGCTTCTGTTTTCTGCTAATGCTGTAAAAAAATTTTACTTGACTTTATTGATATTGAATATTTAATTGTGCATGACTGTTCATTTAACCTATTTTAATATTTGAATTACCTTTGCCATCATCTATCACTCAATTTAATCTTTAGAAATCCTAATAATTTAATAAGACTGACACTGTTAAATGTAATTTATATGAATGTATAATTTATCAAAGCAATAAATGAATATCCATTTTCATACTGTACATTATGATGTTTTGATACTTAAATTAACTTAGTTGCATTTAAAACAACTGTTTTTAATTTGTAGTGTTTTTTTTAAAGTA